TTTTTTTTGTTCCTTAAAAAAAGTTCAGTACCGTATCAAATTTCATAATAAGAACTTTTGCCATATATGTGCGTAAAATAAAATGTGCAATAAGAACTTGCTGCCATATGTGCATGCAAAATAAATTGTTCAATAATTTAGAGTTTGAAATTAATGTGGAACTAGTACAGAGCCCGTGCGATGCATAGGTGCACAATTTTAAGGTTATTTATTCAGCCTTATAATTATATAAATGAATAGAAAAATGTATGAGATATATATAGTACGGGACATGCGCGAGACACGGGATATATTTATTTGGGAATATTATGTTATAAGATGCAGTATTCAATAAAAAATTTATAATACGCAGGAAATTTATACAATAAAATAGTATACGACAAAAAAAAAATCATATATTATTAAATACCTCATTGTACATAGATATTAAATAATTTATTAGTAAAATAGTTTATAAATTGATTACAATAACAAAACTGCTCACGGGATTAGTAAAAATACTCCATAGATTGAAAATTTAATAGGATTAAACATTTAAATAAAGTAACTTAGATAATTGAAATTAGATAATTCAAAAGCCTTACAATATTATTTTGACTTTAATATATTACAACATATGTATACTTTAAATATATTAATATTTAAGGAATTTTAAACAACATAGTTTTTACAAAATTGTTTCAGGAAACTTTAAACAGCATATTTACGTCACCCATAAAACAAATTATATTTCAACAGCATAGTTATAGTATTATTTAAGGAACTTGAAACAACATTGTTAAATATTTATGTCCACCCATAAATTTTTTGCAATTCGAAGGAAATTAATCCCGTGCCTTTTTTATTTGTTTGTTTGATAAATTTTTTTGACAAAACTGATGTCATTGATAAAATAACTAAATATTAAATAAATTAATTAAATAATATTAATTAATATGCTTTAGATAGATATAGAATGCGGATAATCCTCTCATGCCAAACAACGCGATTTCAAAATTGACTCAGATCCATCAATCATATCTAATATTTCATTAAAATAAATATTAAATAAAATACTTTAAACAGAAATTAGATAAGGAATTAGATAAAAAATTTGAATCTGCCTTTCTTTAGTATAGATAGACTTGACGTATAATTTTTGACTTCACCGATTATGGGATTTGTTTTGACTAAATCGATGTTATTATGGAATAAGATAAATAAATAAAGTCTTTTTTATTTTAGTAAAGATTTTACGTACTTTTATTTTACTTATCGGATGTTATGGAATTTTTTTTCTTAAACCGATTTAATGGGATATAAGACAAATAAATTAAGAGTATGTTTGGTAAGCCAAATAAGCTAGCTTTTAGCTTATTTGGTTAGCTTATAAGCTCCCTGTTTAAAATAAGCCTCGTTTGGTAGGACGAGCTTTTTTAAAAAGCTCGAGCTTATTTCATAAGCTACTTTAGGTAGCTTTTCAAATAAGCTAGTTGAATTTTTTTATTTCAGCTAGCTTATCAGCTAATTTACCAAACACCTTTTATCATATAAGCTAACTTTTCAGCTATAAATCATAAGCTATAAGCTATAAGCTCAAAAATTACATATAAGCTATAAGCTAGCTTATCAGCTATCAGCTAGCTTATCAGCTAATTTTACCAAACATAGTCTAAATAATTAAATACAATTCTGGATAGAAATAGCAATGCTAATTATGTTGACTTTTCAACCTACCAATTTTTTTTTTTATTTTAGTAAAGATTTTGCGTACTTTTTTTTGTCTTATCGGGTGTTATGAGATTTTTTTCTTAAAGTGATTTTATGGAATATAAGACAAAGAACTAAAATAATTAAATATAATTCTGAATAGAAATAGCAATGCATTAATTACGTTTACTTTTCAACCGACTAAATTTGGTAAATATGATACCTTGTTATATAAGTATAGATGTATAAAATGATTTATTGATTCGTGCATGTATTATGTATTTAAACAATCCTTAATTTTTGGTTTTCTGTTTCTAATTTTATAGAATTCGACACATCTCGGAGATGTGTGAAGGATACATTTATTAAGTTGTAAATAAAATTATAAATAGCAAGAATATAAATGTTTTATTCTGTTATGAAATGAAGCATTATTCATCAATTTTTTAATATCAAATTAAATAAATAAAAAGAATGAGGCAAACTCGTACCAATTTTTAAATTTTTGTGCCATATTACGACATCAAGTTTTCAATATCAAATTAATTAAATGAAGTTCTTTTTTATATAAAATATATTTAAGTTTTTATTTTCTTACTAAAATGAATGATGCAAACTCGTACCAATTTTAAAGTCTCCACAATTTGAATAAGGTCTCCTTTAACTTTTGAATACTGCTAAATTTCGTGTTTGTCATTATTTTTCTGCGGGCAAAATTCTATGAAAGTTGTTAGGAAATTGTAACATTTCAATTTGAATTTGAATTACAGATTTGTATGAAAATTATTATTAAATTGTTTACAATTTAATTTGAATTAAAGATTTTTGTTTTTCCTGTTTTCCCTATAAGTTTGTTAAAGAAATCAACTACTTTATTTAAACTTTTATTCCTTCCTTATTTAGATATGTTTATATAAGTATAGATTATAAATGCATTAATTACTACTTGATAAAATTAGAAGTTCATTAATTATGTTTGACTTTTCTATCTACTATATTTAGTAAATAGGTTTCCCTTTAATATAAGTATAGATATCATAATTGCAAGAATCAAAGTTTGAGACAAATTTGTTCACTTTCTATAAATATAATTATCTAACAAGCGTCCATATTCCTCAAAGTGGATTGAAATTACTTAATATTAATCGACTATAAAGTTATCACGACAATGACATTGGCATAATAAAATATCGAATAGCGCTGAACAATCTAAAAAGAAGTTGTTTGGTTCAACCTTAAATCCCAAAATTGCATTGAAAAGCGATAGTTAAAAAGCCTACATCTTAACCTTGAAAACATTCGTTTCACTTGGTTTGAACGGGCCGATGTCCATGAGTTGCGTCAATTTCATATCCTCTATTATTAATTCGTAAGAACGCCTTAGTGTGGTCGTGGTAATTGCCCTGAATGTAGTTTCTCCATGAGTTGTTGCGTCAATTTCATAATGCAAAGTTGTTGATATCCTAAAAAATGCCCACACAGTTCAGTAGCCAGTGCAATTGGTGGTGAACTCAAATATGGCTGAATTTTATTAAAGATGTTTTTTTTTTAAAAAATTGGATTTATAACATTAAAGCAAATGTTAACTTTTTATAAATAACATTTAATAAAAAATATTGTACTTAAATGTCTAGTTCAGTATTATTAGTTGTCTTTTACTACTTTCATGTCGTTTCTATATATATATGATTATATCGTTGCATCAAATTTTAGTGGGAACAGACATAACGTTTAAAATTTGATAAAATGGAGCCTAATCTACACGAAAATGTGAATGACCAACCTCTAGTTAGTCGGGTGAAATTATGTGTTTAATTAATGAACAAGGCTGCACACGGGATTTTAAGGCCTATCGACATTTGGGACAATTGCATCTATTCCTTTTCTTAAAAATAAAAATAAAAAATCAACTTTTGTTTTTTTCTCTCTTCTCAATTTTTACTAAATTGATAAAATGTACTGATGTAGAGGATGTATACGAACGGGAATTAAGAACGCAAGAACAGTTTTCTGTCTCTCAAAATTAATAATACGATGAATGAATAACAATTGTTCAGTGAGTGGGTACATATATGAAGAGTCCACTATAGTGAGTGGGTACATATATGAAGAGTCCACTACTCAACAACTTTCTAATTATTTAATTAACTATTCCACTAATAAAAATAACATAAATGAAAACTATAATACCTAATAAACTGACAACTGATAAAGACCAGGAAAATAAATAATCTAAACTCGAAGACAGTCATATTTCTGCAGAAACGCCAACGCGGCCTCGTCTCCATCATGTACCGTGAGTGAAAGTTTGATGATGAAAATATAGATTTTGTGATTTTTTTTTTTTCATATATATGTGTTTGTTGTAGGAAAGATCTGATTCCAACAAGTGTATGTTGTACATAAAAATGGAATGCACTATGGACCAATCACTCGAGCCCAAAAGTAGCTTAGAAAAATAATGGGAGAACAGAAAACGAGACAAAAATGATAAATGGGTAATTTATTTAATATACTATACTTATAGTACATAGATAGTACAGTACATAGATTAGATATTGAAAAAGATCAAAATGCAATCTTATTTAGATTTGAATTTGATGAGTCACAACTTTTGGGCTTCATGTAAAGTTTGAATTTGACCTCTTCTTTTCAGGAAGGTATTTGAAAAGACACTGTAAAGTCCAAACGACACTCAATTGTCCGCCATATATTACTGTTTACGGAGTTGGCACTTGAATACATCCAACTACGTACCCAAGAGGCCAGAGCCGATAACCAGTTTGATTGTGATTATTTATTCAAGTTTTCTTTCAATTTTTTTCATTCAGTATCAGTAATGGCCGGAAAAGGCGAAGGGCGTGCAATCGGGATCGATTTGGGGACCACCTACTCGTGCGTTGGCGTGTGGCAGCACGAGCGTGTCGAGATCATAGCCAATGATCAAGGTAATCGCACGACGCCGTCCTATGTCACTTTCTCCGACGGCGAGCGTCTCATCGGCGAAGCTGCTAAGAACCAGGCCGGCGTGAATCCCGAAAACACCGTCTTTGGTGAGCAGTGAGCTGCTTTCTTCTCCAATTTTTATTTTGTTTTATTTTTTCCTCAGAGATTTTGGTGATTATATCCGGCATTCATTTTAACGTTTCAGCTCGGATAATATATACGTTTAACTTGTTTGTGTCTCTTCCGAAATTTCGTTGTGCTATATTTAATTTTTCAGATGCACAGTAGTATTTTGGTTTTATGAGGTGTTTGAGTTAATATTAGTTCCTATCAAGAATAAACCTACTCTGCAGTGTTACTATACTCTTACATCTATCTGTGTTGGGTGATTCAGATGCCAAGCGGCTGATCGGGAGACGATATAGTGACGACTCTGTGCAGGCCGACATAAAGCTGTGGCCGTTCAAGGTTGTCCCGGGCCCCACCAACAAGCCCATGATTGTGGTCTCCCACAAGGGCGAGAAGAAGCAGTTTCCTCCAGAGGAGATTTCGTCCATGGTCCTCACCAAGATGGCTGCCATTGCCGACTCCTTTCTGGGCCCCACCCCCGTCCGGGATGCCGTCATCACTGTCCCCGCTTACTTCAGTGATTCTCAACGACAGGCCACCAAGGATGCTGGTGCCATTGCTGGCCTCAATGTCATCCGCATCATCAACGAGCCCACTGCAGCCGCCATTGCCTATGGCCTCAATTACAAAGGAGAGAAGAAGAATGTGTTTGTGTTTGACTTAGGCGGTGGCACCTGCGACGTCTCCCTCCTCACAATCAACAAGGGTACCTTTGAGGTGAGGGCCACCGCCGGCGACACCCACCTTGGCGGGGAGGATTTTGACAACCGCATTGTCGCTCACTTTGCCGCCGAGTTTAAACGCAAGTATGGCAAAGACCTCTCTAAAAATCCCCGAGCCCTTCGGAGATTGAGGACAGCCTGCGAGAGGGCAAAGAGGACTCTCTCGACCAACACTCAGACCACTGTGGACATTGAGTGCCTGCACGAGGGCATTGATTTCCACTCTAGTATTACCCGTGCTAAGTTCGAGGATATTAACATGGACCTGTTTGAAAAGTGCATTGAGCCCGTTGAGAGCTGCCTGAGAGATGCTGGGGTGGAAAAGACTGCCATCCATGATGTCGTCTTGGTTGGCGGCTCAACCAGGATACCCAAGGTTCAAAACATGCTGCAGTTTATTTTTGAGGGAAAGGAGCTATGCAAGAACATTAACCCGGATGAGGCCGTTGCATACGGGGCTGCTGTGCAGGCGGCCGTCCTAAGTGGCATAGGGAATGACAAGTTGCGGGACATCGTCCTCCTTGACGTGACCCCTCTCTCCCTTGGAGTAAACACTGCCGGGGAGGTCATGTCTGTCGTGGTCCCGCGGAACACGACTATCCCCACCCAGAAGGAGCATAGATTCACCACACATAAAGATAACCAAACAGCTGCGGATATCATGGTCTACGAGGGCGAGCGGGCAAGGTCAACAGACAACAACTTGCTCGGGAAGTTCATACTGAATGGAATCCCACCTGCCCCACGGGCCGAGCCCAACCTTGATGTGTGCTTTAGAATCGACGCAAATGGGATACTGAGCGTGTCGGCCAAGGAGAGGTCAACGGGCAATATGAACGGGATCACTATAACCAACGAAGAAGGGAGGCTGTCTAAAGAGGAGATTGATAGGATTGTGTTGGATGCTGCGAGGTACAGGATGGAGGACGAAGAGTTTAAGAAGAGGGCCAAAGCCAGGAGCAACCTCGAGGATTTTGCTTATGACATTAGGAACACTGCCAGGGCTGCACCCGGGCGGTCGGCCGAAAGGAGAATGGTTGAGAAAGCGGCGGTGTCAGTTATTGAGTGGGTGGGGGAGAATGGGATGCAGGCCGGTGTGGATGAGCTCAACCGTAAGATGAGGGAGCTTGAGTTTGTTTGCAACCGTATTATAAAAGTGGATATGGAGTCCGACTACGACTCCGATGGATGGTAGTGTGGCTGTTTGCTCTTTTTTCTTTTGTCGACATTTAGTACATTGGTTAAGAATTTTCACGTCAAAACACTTATATCATTTCTTGGTATTTTGGGATTGAACATGTGTTTGGGTTCTTCACCTAACATGTAAGGTACTTGTTTCTACGACGAGCGTGTGATCAATGTTGATTTTATGTTATGATTTTATGTTATTAATTTTCCAGTAAGCAAGTCTTTTGACCATTTTTACTATGCAAAGATTTTATCAATTTAACCCACACTGCACACGACTTTCCAGCAGATTTCGACAGAATCGAGCTTTGCTCCGACGACGATTATGGCGAAGAACGAGCATCAGGGGGAAATACTAAATCATATATGGTCTGTCCTGACAGAGCAATCAATCAGAAGCAGCACTCCGCATGCAAACAAGATGTTGCCTAATTCAAAAATTTTGTTTTGCTCTAGCTAGCAATTTTGAAAACAATTTTAATTATCTGAATTTGTTGAAATTCATTATGAGAACCATTGATTATACTAGTGATTTTAAAAATGGAAATTGGAGACAATGAAATTGATTTTTTTTTTTAACATCTATAGTTACATGATGTAAATAGTTAAAAAAAAATATATATTACTAGAACAGCCGCCAACTACTATTTTGTGGCGGCACAAGACGGCGGAGGATCCGTGGCTTCGACAACAGTGCTATTTATTTCTATTATTACCAATTTGAAGGTGAAAATAACATTTGTCATTTTAGTTATTCATTATTTATTATACATTTATTTTTATAATTTCACAATAAAAATAAAAATATGTTTGTATTCTTTCATAACAATCGTGTAGAGCAAGGTGTCGTACTAATAGTGAATATTAAGATGAACGGATTTGCTATGAAACCAACAGTTGGCTCTATAATAGCGTTAACCTTCTAAATACAACAAATAAATCTCACATATATTCGTGGAATATTATATCTAATATTTTTAAAATGCTTTTTGTTTTTTTTCTATTTCTATAACATTTCTTTTTCCATATACATGATAAATAAAAATAAATTTGTACTTTCACTTATCATAAAAGTTGGTGGATTGTCTTTTATTATTGTTTTAATAATAATCGGATTTTTTATGAAGCCAACAGTTGGCTCCATAGTGTCTTCTATATACAACAAATAAACCTACCATATTCTTTGATTACTTAAATAACATTAATAACTTTGATTGGTGATGTTAATATGTTTAAAAAATTACAATGAGCGAATGCCACCTACGCAGTGGACATATTAATATGTGTCCACCGTGGGTAGGTGAGCATCTCTAACTTTGGTTACTCAAAATTTCTATATTTATATAACATCTGACATTTGCAGTTGACAACACAATTAGTATCTCTTATTCATACCTTAAATTAACCCATAAACGCAACCGCCTACTATGAAGCTCAAAATCAAATAAAAAAAAAGTCAAAACTAATAACTATTTTCAGCATTGTCGCGGTGGTCAACTCGGGATCGGGACTTGTCCAGAGAGATTGTTCGTACCGGGTAACAAGGAATTTGGTCAAATCAGATCAAAATCCGATTTATCCTGTATTGACCAGGTCGACCAAGATATTGATTCGAATATTATTTTAGTGTATAATACAAGTCTCGCACCCCGACCGGCTGAAAATCGCCTCAAGCTCGTTCTCCTCGCCGGTTGAATGCGTCAAGAGCCTCCAACGGACCGAAGGTGTTTTCCGAATGTATTTTCTGGTGAAGAGCCTCCAACGCTCAAGTCAGATCTTGAGAGATAATATCGGTGTATGAAAATATATGAGAGTATATGAGATTGTGTTCAAAGTGAGGATTCTCGCCCCTATTTATAAGGGCGACCTACCTGTTCTACACGCGCGAGTAGGGCGAGTTCGGCCAACTGTCCTCTGCTCGTCCGTACAACCGCGCGCCTCCACTATCCTTGGTGTCAGGAAACGCGTCCCATTTGTCAGAGAATGTCAGAGTTCGTTACAGCTATTTGACCACTCATAGCGCGCCACGTGTCCTCCCTTTAACGTGTTGGAGATTCCCTTGTGCGCTCCGATATTCAACCAGTTCTACGCGACCACGCCCTATTCGATCGTCCTCCCTCGACCAGCTCCTTGAGTGACTCATATTTGTCGACCACTTCTGATCTCCTTAGTATCTGTTGTCTACTCTCTGTCCTCTATTGCGAGTATCTGGTCCTGCTCGACCATGTCATTCGACCCGTCCTTATTCAGGTAATCCAACGGGCCGACCTATTTTCTCCGGTTAGCCCAGCAAACTGGTCTAGTATACAATATCCCATATCAATTTTATTTTTAAAAATAAAATTATATATATGTGTGTGTGTGTGTGATAAAATTTAATATTAATAACACTTTGGGATATAATATATAGAGATTGTATCACATGAGAATACTAGATAGGGAAAGAAATAAGAATAAATGTGGACCTTTAGATCTAACATATCAATGGACATGATTAAGTCAAAATTTTAAATATGCAGTCAAACCTGCTGTGGCAATTTAGTAAATAGTTGTGCAATTCATTGTCAAATAAGGGCAGTACGGTAATTACACCTCACACACCAATTCACCTACCAGACGTGGGCCCCACCATCACTACCTCAATTTAAACCTCTTTTTCTCTCTCATATACACCATCTGCAACTGGAATATCTCCGTCTGTGCCCATATTGCCGCCACCTACTGCCATTTGACGCCTCCGCCCGCAGCCGCCGCCACCGGAGTTTCTCTGTTGCGCCATCTCTCCATTTTCTCTCGCACCGACGGCCCCGTGTCTGCCACAAATTTCGGCTTCCTCCTTACCTTCTCTACCGGCGTCGACCGCGTTTCCTCCTGCCGACGAGCTTCGTGATGTCATGGCGAACTTCAATGTCGAGCCGCGCATCTCTTTCATCGTCAATCGTTCTCTGTCCTCGGTCCCGGCACGAAAAACGGTTAGATGGCGGAAGGAAGCCGACGATGATTTTCGTCGTCGTTTCGCGCAGTGGCTGGTTCAAACTGCCGTCGAGCTCGACGTTCCGCCGTACATCTTCTTCCCATCCGCCGGCGCTTTCAATCTTCATACATTACATATCGATCAGTGAATAATTCCGGTGCGTATCCCGGATCCGGTCGTCGTCGTCGGGATCGTCCAGCTGGCCATCAGCACGTTTGTATGGTCGCGTGTGTGAACAGCTGGGGCGGGTTTCCGGTGAATGACTAGAGGGTGAGGTCTTGGAGGAGATGGAATTTAGGGGCTGGAGTTGTGTAAGTTAGATAAGGGTTGGAATTTGGGGGGCTCGACTTTTGTAAATTAGATAAGAATGAGGGACTTATATGAAAATTAATAAAAGTTAATAGTATTACAAATCAATGTTGTACAATAATGATAAATAATAATATTGTCCAATAATGTGCAACCTATCACACGTTATTGTGCAAGTCGTGTAGTAATATTGTGCACAATGTTAGTCGCTATTGCACATATGAACAAATCAACCTTTTGTCTCAACCCAATCTAAAACCGAACAAGATTAGTTTATTTAATTGGTGTATTATATATTTTTTTTTTTTGGTTGTAAGAATATTACTTTATATAAATATATGAGAAAATAAAATTTTTATTCAATTTGGTCTTATTTTGACTATTTTAAAAATAGCATCGTACAGTGCAATCTGCCAATCACCAGTGTGCAATCTATCCAACACTAATGTGCACTCAAATTTTATTTTTTTAATATTACCCCAAACCGAAATAAAACAGAAATAATTGGTGTATTTGATAAGTTAACCGAATTAACATAAATAATCTAAATGTTAATAATTTATATTATAAAAATGTATTTAGTACATTATTTTTTTATTTAATATTTTGTATTATTTTGTGATTGTGAATACCTAAAATATGTATATATAACAAAATAATATTTTTATATGAATCGGCCGATTTTGGTTATTTTGATCAATAAAGATGTCATATATATGAGATACCAAAAAATCCAAAAGCAAAAACATATAATTGAACCAAAACATAAAACTCAAACAAAAAAATTTGCCTGACTGTTTCAATCGCTACAATGCAATCTGGTAGTCAATAATGTGCAATTCTTGTAACATTAATGTGCACTTGAAGTGCAACTATGATTTTTTTTCTTATGGAAATAATTTAATATTTATAATTTATTATTTAATATTTTATAGTATTATTTGTTGAAAATAAATAATATATATAAAATATAAAAATAATAACTTTTATATATTTTATTCGGTTCTGTTATTTGTTAGTTTGTTTTTGAATAACACTGAAACCATATAAAAATACTCAAAATTTCAAATATTTGTGAAAATGCACCTTATTTTGTTAATATGCATTTGGTCTAACAATATTGTGCAGTTTGACCGATTTTGCTATGAAGCCAACAGTTGGCTCCATAATGGAGCCAACCTTCTATATACAATAAATAAACTTACCATATTCTCTAATTACTTAAATAATATTAATATAATTTTATTGATATGGTAGATTTATTTGTTGTATATAGAAAGTTGGCTCCACTATGGAGCCAACTGTTGGCTTCATAGCAAAACCGGCAGTTTGACATTCACTAATGTGCATCATGTTTTATGTTATATTGTGCATTCTATAGTGTAAGTTTATCTATTTATTTATACGCGATTCCAACTTAAGTCGAACCGAAATCATTAAATTATTCGATTGGACAATTGAATTAACTTAGATAATTAATATAATTTATTATTTTTTATTATAAAATAATTCAATATTTTAATATTTATGTTCAATTCTTTATATTACTCTTGGTTAAAACAAATATAATATATGTATCTATAAAAAAAATATGTTTATATATATATAAAATAATATTTTTATATATTTACTATAAATTATAAATTTAGTCCATGCATTTAATTGTAATACAGTTAAAATTTATTAATTTACAATTAGGCCCCTACAAGATATCAAATTTACAAAAAAAAAACCCACCCTTCCCAGCCATTTTTCTGCAACCGCCCACTCCCAAATTTTATCCTCTCATATAGTCGGACATCATAAAGCTAGGAGCAGCTTGGCCGTGGACTTCCCTCGAACAGCCGGAGCATCTGTGTCTCGGGCTTCTCTTCCACCACCCCTCGTCGGAAGAGAGGGTTGATCATTTGCGGGACGTGGGGGAGCACGGCGGAGATCGGGAGATGAGGGAAGACGCGGCGATGGCTGCAGCGGGCCTGCAGCAGCGGACGCCGGTTGCGGTTGTCGGTGTCGGCCTCTACGACGGGAATCTAGCGGACCGTGGCACTAGAGCGGCGGCCGCCGGAGAAGCCGACAGTGGACAATCTCTATCGGCGACGCTGGGGGCGGAGCTGGCGTGGATTTTTCCGGCCGTATTATGTGCTGAGTTTGTGTGATTTGGGCGGACTGAGTGTGTGCCGAGTGTGTGTGTATACTTTGTGTGGGGTGAATGTCTGTGCTAAGTGTGTGTGTGTGTTGTATGTGAGAGAGAGAGCAAAAGAGAGAGAGAGAGAGAGGTGAGGTGAGATAAATACGTGAAGTGAGGGTGATTTGTTGGTGGAGTGGGACCCACAAACATGTGGTTTGTTGGATTTTGTTGATTTCCATGTGTGGATAAATTACCTTCTTATCCTTACCACGCAATGACCTTTCCAGAATGGGTGATAATTGCTGAGTTATTTTATCCGTCGGATTACTTAATCTGATGGTGAAGATATATTCTTATTTTTTTCCTGGGGAACCATTCTCACTGGAGCGTGACCCATAATATATATATATATACATATAATTTATTTTTAATATTTTATGTATAACTATAAGATAAAAATAATATAGATAATTCAAAATTTAATAATATTAATTATCCAGTTCAACAATTGACCTGCTGATATGTAGGTGGATCGATGACCTGGAGTTCGGAGTTCAGCTCAAGTCAATCAGCAGTGGGGGTTTTAGTGGAAGCTCAAACTGAGGGAGCTCGGGTCCATAGATCGACCTCGTGAAGAGTGGACGCACTGGGAAAGAAGATGCTCTACCCAGTGAGCGTTCTATATGATGACGTGAACCTAGTCTTACGACAAGATAAAAAGTCATCTAACTCGGGAACAACGCCATATGAGGTCTGGACAATGTGTCGCAACGCGTTTGGGTCGCCTGCACACCTAACGAGCCTGATAGTCTGAAACACTGTAGATAGTACGAACGGGGCAGCTTGGACAATAGGGTCAACTCTTCAGGCAGACTAGGAGAGCATGATACTACACCATATATAAAAAAGTGTAGTAGGTTAGTTTTCGTTTTACATTCTTTCTCTACAATATATACATTCAGTTACTGTTTATCGTCTTCAACCTTGTGTCGGCTTAGGCATCGGAGACTCTTCGTCGAAAATCTCCCTTCCAGTGTTCAGTTATTGATGCAGGTCTTAGAAGTCGTCAGAGGTAGAAAAAAGTCGATCCAGTTCCATCAGTTCTAGTGAGGACCAAGTGAAACTCATTTCGCTATTAACCACGTTCGCGGGATAGGACCACTATGATCCGATTATGTATGGAAAAACATTTTTTCCGATTCCTTAAAAAAATCACAATTGAAAAAACACAAAAGAACAAACCAATGAAATAAGAAACAATGGAAGGAGCTCAATCCAATTCGTCTCCAAATATCTAAATGTAGAAGCACAAGAACACTCAATGAATCACTAAAAGTAGAAACACAAGAACACTTATTCGATTAAAATTCGTTCTCGAAACCTTAGACAGAGTCTCCTTGAGCATCCGTATTAACACCCATCTATGGTTTTCGTCGGGCCTTAAGGTTATACCAACATTCAATGGCGTCGTTAATCGTGTCTCCACTGGTAAATTTTGGTGGGGGGAAAAATAATCAAATTCAATAAACAGAAAAGATTGGGTGATAGAAATCGGAAATCCAAATCCCTCCCTGTATATTAATTCAAAACGTGTTGAGCCTAGGTGGCAGATTCTCACGCTTCGGATGCTGACATGGCAAAAATCTATACTTCGTGATGTTGTTTTTATATTGTTTTTGCTCTGGAGTTATGTTTGATATTAGACATAAATAACTTTACATAGGTATTAGTACTAGTTTGATATTCATTAATTCAACACCAATATTGTACATAGGTATTAGTACTAGTTTGATGTCTTCATAGAAATTAGCACAAATGTCATAAGTGTCAGATATTTGCTCTCAACGTTAATCAACATCCTGAACTCCTGAAGTCAATATATAGCCCGTGGCCGTTCGCAAAATGGGGAATTGATTTGATTGGCCCGCTTCCGACAGCAAAAGGAGGTGTTCGGTTTGCAATATTAGCTGCTGATTACTTCACTAAATGGGTTGAGGCCGAACCTCTTGCAACCATCACTGAACAAAAGATGATCGATTTTGTTTGGAAGTCAATTATTTGTCGGTTTGGAAAACCAAACTCTGTCATAACCGACAACGGTCGTCAGTTCGAGCGAAAACGATTTGAAGGCTTTTGTGAAGATTATAGCATCAAGCACTTCTTCTCGTCACCTTACCATCCACAAGCTAATGGTCAGATAGAAGCTATAAATAAAATTATCAAGAATGGCTTGAAATCTCGGCTTGAGACTGCAAAGGGATCGTGGCCTGATGAACTACCCCATGTCCTCTAGGCTTACCGGACGACGACACGAAATTCAACTGGGGAAACTCCGTTTTCGTTAGCATACGGGATTGAAGCTGTGATACCGGTTGAACTTACTTCTCCAACATATCGGATTACTCATTTTTCCGAAGAAACCAACTCGGCAAACCTGAAAGCCAATCTCGATTTGGTCGATGAATTACGGGCTGATGCTGAAATTCAAAATACCATTTATAAATGACGTAGTGAGAAGTATATCAATTCAAGACTCAAGCCACGCTCATTTGTCGTAGGAGACCTTGTGCTGAAAAGAATCACTGGGGCCAATGTCGGTCCGTTACAACCGAAGTGGGAAGGACCCTTTAAAGTGAACCGTATGATCTCCAACGGTACCTATCGACTTGAAACTCTAGATGGTATTCCCCTTCAGTATCCCTGGCACGCAA